TGTAATGATTTGACTTCTATCAGGCGCTCAGGTAGCAGCAGCAACACCCATCTATGCTTCATTCGTTTAATAAACCTTTCAGAAGCCGGGACTCTCCTGCCTCTCCCCTTTCTCCCACACCCAAGTCAGTCAGCCTTGCCTCCTTCGTTCCCAGGTTAGGCCACCATGGGCTCTCACCTGGACCACTGCAGCTGCCTCCTGACTCATCTCCCTCCATTGCGCCGCGTACCCAATGCTTAACCCTCCTCCCCACCACCAGTTAGAATGATCCTTCTGATCTGAAAACTCTGGTTCTATTATTCACTCACTTAAAAACTTCCAGTCGTTTCCAATAAAATGATAAACTCCAGTCACAGCCCACAAGGCCCGGTAAGACCTGGCCTAGTACATGCTGCTCCTCTTGCCTGGCACACTCTTCTCTCACTTCCTCCCTCCTCCCCCTCAGGAGGTCATCTTCTTCACCTTGCTAACTCCTCTTCTTCCAACAGGGCACAATTTAAAATAGCTCCTTCTCCAGGAAGTCTCCCGGGGTGGGTTCCCTGCCTCCAGATACACTGAGGGCCACTGCCGCGTGTTCCCATAGCACCGCACACGGTCCGGGCAGGGCCCTTATCAGGCTGGACAGCCATTGCTTATTCAGTTGTCCAGCTTCCTGCAATATGCTGCAAACTCCATGAGAACAGAGACTTCTCTGGATGTCCCGCGCTAACAAGAGCCAGTGACTGGAGGCTGGGTGGACCAATGGGTGACGGACGCAGTCCACTGCCTCTGTAAAGTCTTTGTGGGCTCCCCCAAAGGAGTTCTTCACCCACGCCTCAGAACACCGAGTGCAAACCTCTCCTCAAGGCCAGCATCTCCCCCTATAAAATGGTGGGGGTGGGGATAGTAGCTACCTCGGGCAATTATTGACATTAAATGATCAAAGTGATGTCATACTTTTTAACCCATTATAGTAGGTTGTTACATCCAAAGGAGAGAATCTGCATAACACGCTTAGAACAGGATGTTGCACTAAATAAGTGAGTGTGTGGGGGGGAAGGTCACCTATACTAATTGTGAGAGCATTTATCACTTCTTTCTGCCTATGTGTCCCGTCAAGCACAGGGCTCCCAGAGCTGCAGTTGAGGTCTGACTCACGTTTAGACATGACTGCTTGGACCCCCTTGCTGGCCTGCGTGGCTTGGTGCTGTGCTCTCTCTGAATCCTGGCTGGATGAACCAATGACTCCACCAACGCAGATTTCCTAGGCGCTGAGGATGAGTCAGGACACAGCACCCCCTTTTGTCACTCACAAACCCAGACACACAGGAACACAAAACAGTCTCTTACACATCCACTCCCACGCCCATTGATTCAAAGAACCCCAAAATAACCGGGAACAGCCACCCACTTTCCTAAAGTCAGCCGTACCCAAATAAAGCCGCTTCCCCTGGCAGTCTCCTCTCCCCACCCGAGGGCTGGTGCCTGTGGTTGGGAAGGGCCTTCCCAGGGGCAGAGAGGAGAGCAAACCCAAACCCTGGGCCATCCCAGCCACGGCCATGGCGAGCAGCCCACTCCGCCTTGTACACACACCTGGAACGCACACTTGCCCTTCCTCCTTTCTGAAAACCTGGGTCCCGAATCTTCTTCAGTGGTTGGCCTGGGAGCTAGACTCCAGGGTCCCTTCCTCGCTCATCCTCTGACCCTGGAAGGGTAGGCTCGCTGTGGGCCGCAGGGAGGTGGCAGGCCCAGGAGATTGGAGGCCTCCATAGGCTCGGGGGAGTCACTAGACTAGCATCCCTTTGCTGAAGGCCAGGTGCTATGCGGAGCCCGGGGTTTTCATACATTATCTCGGATTTAATCCTCACAGGAGGGCACTGGACCCTCAGAGGTCAGGTGACGGGGCAGAAAGCACCCGCGGGAATTAGAATCTTCAACCGCCAGGCTTTCGAGTTTGGGGTGAGGAGCAGGGGTTGGGGGTCTTCAAGAATTAAGGTGGGGAGTTGCCCGGCAAGGCAGCCCCATTCA